AGTATATTTTTCTCATCAGGAAAAGAAAAACAGAATAATTAACTTAGAGAATCAAAAAAATGAATAAATAAATAAATAAATAAAAACTAAAATACTAAAAACAAAAAACATTAGAAGACATCCTTTTACTTACAATTGAGAGTACTTTTTAAACTTAAAAATCACATTTTTTCCAATCACAAAACAATCCATATTCATTCATTTAACTTAGAAAATAGAGAAAAGGAAATGGAAGAAACAAACATCTGGCCCAGCCAGGTTAGTACATGCTGACTGATGCTGCTACTCAGCAGCCTGCGGCCACGTGGGAGACCAGGGTTCAATTCCCAGCCCACTCTCAAAGCTGGATGCAATGGAGCATACCTGTAGTCCCAGCTGAGAGAGGAGATCACGACATCTAATAAATAAATAGATTAAACATGTATAATGTCATTACCCAAAGGTAGCCTTTATAACCCTTCTATTAATTCTGTACCAAAATATTACACTATATATCCCATTTGTGACTTACTGCTTTCATATAACACTATTACTAGCATCCTTTGAAATCAATACAAATTGATCTAAAAATATCAGTTTAATGCATAATAGAATTGGAAGGATACATCATTTTAAAAATGTTAATCAAGCTCCTTTTATAGGATTTTTTAATTATTTCTATATATACTTCCATAAATAATTTTTTGAGGAATGCCCTTGAGCATTTGCCTGTGTGGCTGATCATTCTCACGTGTGGATAAATTTGTAAATGGAAGTTGCTGAGTCACTGGGTTTATATGCTATATTACCCTTCACATGGGTATACCAATTTTCATATGCACCAGTAGCGTGTAAGAGTATACCTTGTTTAGGGACCAGTAGATGGCTTAATGGTTACATTGCTGAACTCTCACCTAGTCAACAGCAGTTCAAGTCCTAGACCAGGCAGCTTATACTTAAAAATCACCCTCTAGGCATATGTGCAGCCAAAATCCTGAGAGGAGAATGAAGGGATTGCAGCATGGCCATCACCCTGGTGTGGGGGGCGATTTCTCACTTTCTGTCTCTCTGTCTCTCTCTTTCCAGCAAGTATACACACCCTACAACAAAAATCTCTCAGAAAAAAAAGAGCATACCTTGTCTAAACTTACGTTTGTTACTCACTAGCCAATAATGTTAACGATTTCCCACAGGCCCAGCATGGTGCAGGCAGTGAGAGTTCACTAAGTGATGTTGGAACCATCTGGGGAGCCCTGGGGTGCAGATTCCAGGTCAGTGCAGGAGCACCCTTAATCTTGGTTGGCTGAGTGGCTGGTAGAGGGTAATTTAGGGCATGATGAGACCCTGTCAAAGGTACGGCCACCGAAAAACAAAAAAGATTTCATCATAATTTTTGTTCGCCCTTTTTTCTCCTTATGGAATCATCTTCTCACTTTTCTATTAGAGCAGAGGTCCCCAATCTGCTGGTCCCTGACCTGTTGCCTGCACTCCCATCCCCACCCCAGGCCGTGTGGGGGTTGGAGGGGTTGGGGGGCCTGCAGACAAGTGAGGGAGGCTTCCTGGGTGACTGCCGCTACTCCCGCTGGCTCACGTTGCCACCTAGGCTCCTCCTCCTGTCGGATCAGCGGTGCTGTTGGATTCTCATGCGAGGCCGCCGGAGGAGCCCTATTGTTACGTGATTGTTACGTGATTGCGTCATTGTATGAGGTAGTGGTGGAAATCGGGTACACTGCATCCTCGGCGGTAGGGTTATCCCAGAACCAATCTCCCGTCATCCACCCCTGTCTGTGTAAGGATTGTCTTCCACAAGGTGGTCCCTGGTGCTGGGGAGGTTGGGAACCGCTGTATCAGAGTATTCATTTTTCATACTGATTTGTGGGAGATATAGTAAATATATCAACTTTGTCTATCAAATGAAGTCATTTCTCCAAGATTATCTTTGCTCTTTTAATGTTAGTTATAGCATTTTGGGTTCTATTGGTTTTTCTGTAAAGTTTGTTTGTCTTTTTGATGACAAGTTATGCCTTGGATAACCTTAGAAAAACTTTTACCCCACTGCCATCTCTACCCAAGGGCTATATAAATGAATGTGTAATGTGTACATAAAGAATTAATATATTGTTATGTTTTGCCCCCAGAGATATCTAGACTCCACCATTTTTATCTCATGAACATTTTTACTCTGTGTATTAACACAAACATTTTATTTAGTAATTTCTTTTTTTTTGTTTTATTTTTGTTTTTGTTTTTGGTCTTGTTTTTTTCTGAGAGGTTTTTGCTATAGAGTGTGTGCGTTTGCCAGAAAGACAGAGAGAGACAGAAAGTGAGAAATCACCCCCCAGGGAGGATGGTCACGTTGCAATCCCTTCTCCATTATCCTCTTGGGATCTTGGGCCTGCATGCCCACGCGCCCAGCATGAGTTTAAGCCACTGGGTCTGGGACTCAAACCGTGGTTGACTACATGTGAGTCCAGAAACAGCCATTATGCCATGTGCTGGTCCCTATTTAGTAATTTCTTAATGGCCAGAGTGTGTATACACCCTTCAGAGAGAGAGAAAGACACAGAGAGAGTGCGCAAACACACCCCTTATAGAAAGTAGTCACACCACAGTCCCTTCTCCTCATTTCTTTATCCTGTTGGAATTTTGGGCACATGTGCTGGAGATTTTTGGAAGGCCGCAAGGCTGAGATTCAACTATGGTCTGCCATGTAGGAGTCAGCTCCCTCAACCTCTTGGCCCCACACGCTTTATTTATTTATTTATTTATTTATGTATTTATTTATTTATTTATTTATTTATGTAAAGTGAGAAAGCATTTATATATTTTATATTCTTATTATTTTAATTGGCCAGAGAGTATGTGCACTTGCCTGAGAGAGGGAGAAAGAGGGAGAGAGAGAGAGGTAAAGTGAGAAAGCACCTCCCATAAAGAATGGTCACGCCACAGTCCCCTCTCCTCCATCTCTCCCTCCGTTCAGGATTTCAGCACACACACACACACGTATGCCTGCATGTTTTACAAGTCACTGGGTCCAGGACTTAAACCAGGCAGCTGTCCATGTAAGATCCAGCTGCCTTAACCACCAGGATCAGTGGACTGGTCTCCCACTAGCATTTTCATCAAAATCTTACTGTCAGCTTTTTTCACTCTGACTGCATTGTTTTTATTTAATTCTCAGAACAACTCTATGAGGTGAACATTATTTCCCCTCTTCTATGAGGAAACTGAGGTTTGAGAGACGATGGTCTCAAAGAAGCAAATGGTGAAGGTGGGATTTGAATCCAAGACAGTTTGATTTCAGTCAACTCTCAACTTACATGGCGAAGTGCTCCCTTGGGTGCCCAATAGTTGTAGCCAACAGGACCCTGCAAGTGGTCTGAGTTGACAGCCTGTTTGATTCAGAAGTGTAAGCTACTGATGATAGCTTGGGGTGACCTCGGAATGACCAGTATTGCTTTATAGGAGAGAGATGAAGCCTTTCACAGCACCCGCAGGCTAAAGGGACAGTCCTCAGCAAGTAGGACTCCTGTCCATCCCTGTCTGAACATCCCAGTAATGCTGATTGTGAAAACAGTTGTTTTCAAAGCACCATTACACTAACTTAATTCTTTGATCAATTCTTTTCTACTCTGCAGTAACATTACTCCCAGATATTCATTTTCTTTTGTGGCTTTACTGAGATGATTTTTATTGGGGTTAGTTTTATCCTATGTAAATTTACAACAAAGATGTGAATTTTTTCTTGTGCAACATTTTGGTCCACATCAATTTATGACAACAGGAGCTTCTGCTATTGTTAAGTTTTCTTTTGTGGCTGTTACTTGTAACAAGTTCAGTGTTCCTGTGTCACATTTTTGTAGCTCTCGTTTTGTTAAAGAGATGTGATTCTCCAGGCGGAACTTCTTATCTATTACAACTTTCACTGTATGCAGCCTGGGTCATTGTCTTTTTTACTTTGCATGGATTATTTCTAGCAGTTTTCATTATGAATTGAATAAGATACTGACAGGTCAAGAACTCATGTTACATCATGCAGTATGGGACTACACCAGAGAGCCAGACCTCTCTGCCAGTCCAAGGACAGTATGTGAAAAAGATGGAGCCTGAAGGCCAGCGGATGGCATAATCGTTATATCTCTGGACTCCCATGCAGTGGACCGTGGTTAGAGTCCCAGACCTAGCAACTTAAACACACACCGGGCAGATGTGTGTGTGCATACCTGAAATCCTGAGAGGAGAATAGAGAAGAAAGGATTGCGGCATGGCCATTCCCCCCCCCCCAGCCACCACCACCACCACCCCGCCCTCAGGCTGATTTCTCACTTTCTGTCGGTCTCTGGCAAGTACATGTGCACTATTGTAAAAAGCTCTCTCTCTCTCAAAAAAAAAAAAAAAAAAAAAAAATGTAGCCTGACTTTTTTTCCCTTGAGTGGACTAAAGGACTCAATTACAGAGAAGAGGAAAAAGAGAAAACAAAACAAAACATAGGGACAAAATCCATAACCTAGTCACCAGAGACCAGGCCACTCATGAAAAGTATTGCAGCTTCTTCTGTCTTGGCTCACCTGCCATGAGGAAATCCTGCCACCATGCTGTGAGGACACTCAAGCAGTTCTGAAGAGGCTCCCTTGGTGAAGAGCTGAGGACGTCCGCCAATGGCCCAGTGAGTGAGCTGTAGTGGAAGCCCCTGTCAAGCCTTCAGAAGACAGCAACCCGGCTCAGCCTTAGAGACTGAGCCACAATGACTCGACTGAACTGCTCCTGGATTCCATACCCTCACAAACCATGTGAGATAGTTTTGGTTAGTTTGTTATACAGGAGTGGATGACTGATAAAGGGACCATGCCAGTGCGTTGGCAGGACGGGTCAGAAAAGATTTTCTGAGCATGGCACCGGGGGCATGGCCCGTTGATTCCACAGCAAAAGCCCGTCTCTGTGTTACTGCTCCCAACCTCCTCACCTCCTGCCTTCACCTCTCTGCCTTCCTGTCCTTATCCCTGCGCCTCCTGTGTCTGTCTCTATTCTCTCCCTCTCCTCCTTTGCTTTTCCCAATCAAACAGCAAAGAAAAGGGCTACATAAAACGTTCTGGCTTTTTGGTAAGAAAAAAAGAAACAATTTGATGATTATACATTTACCCACCCCCACCCCAAATCCAAATTTACTTCCATGGCACAGATTTCTGTGTGGTAGACAGATACCCTGCCCTCCCCCCAGTCCTCCAGCAGCCTGTTCACTCATTTTATGCCCATTGTGAGTAGGCCCCACAGGGTTTCAAATGCAATGTTTGGAAAATAGCTATTCTATAGTCAAACTTCAGAGAATGTTTAAAGTCAACTACGAAATAGAAACAATGATTTTAAAGAGGCAAATGAGATTGGCTTTTTATTGATTTTCATTGATGCACACAGCAGAAAGAGTGGATCCACGCGCTTTGAATGTCTTGTGCCAAAAAGAAAATTTGCTGACCCAGACGGGATGAACAGCTGAAAACACAAAAGTAAGTGCTATGATTTTAAATAGCCAAATGAGATACTTGATTTTCATTGATGCACACAGCAGAAAGAGTGGATCCACACGCTTTGAATGTCTTGTGCCAAAAAGAAAATTTGCTGACCCAGACGGGATGAACAGCTGAAAACACAAAAGTAAGTGCTATTTATACTGCTTTTCAAAAAGATTGCATAGGCATGGTGAAATTACTTACAGAATTGTTCATCCTACTTAGAATTTAAGTTATGTTTTGTAAAAAGACAGAAGACATACTTGTACTTCATATAACAATGCAATGTTCAATTTGTTTATTTACTCCTGTTGGTCACACAATAAAGCATTTTGATAATCTCTTACTTTCTTTCAAGAAATGTCTCAGTAAATCTAGGGTCTATCAACTATAATGTGTTTAGTATCTTGAGGTCATTTCTTTTCCTCAATAAACTAATTTCACCAGACACTTCCAACAGAACATCTAAATGGCTAGTATATCATGTTATGGATTAATCATATGTAATAAAGCAACAAAATATCAGTGGACGATGTGTTATAATAAAGCCTCATTGCAACCTGATCTACATAGAGTTACATCTTCTGAGACAGAATAGCTAATTATAGGAAGGTTGGAAGTAATCTTAATTTGTAAATTGCATACTAGTCTAACACCTACATCCAATAGAATATCAACATTATGGGGCTTCCAGGTGGCATGGTGGTTAAGGTACTTCTACATGGCTGACAATGGTTTGAGTCTTGGGCCTGGTGGCTTGCTTTCTCACTTTCCCTCTCTCTCTCTCTCTCTTTCTCTCTCTGGTCAAATTAATAATAGTAATACATAAAGTTAAATAAATAATTTTTTTAAAAAAGAATATCAACATTAAAAGGAATATCATGATTTAATTTTTAATCTCTTAGTGAAGATTCAAAGCAGCATTCAACCATTTCCACTCAGCAGTGCTCCAGTTAATGAAATGCTGCAAAAAGCAATCTCAATTCAAAGGACTGTATTGTGTTGCTTTAGACATTCCAGGAAACTGGAGAAAATGCTCAAGAAAACAATGCAAGGGGACAGTCCTGCTCAGTGGAAAGATGGTCCAAGTGACCTCAGAGACCCTGTTCATTTTTGAGTTCAGTAGCAGACCAGTAGTTATTCCAATTTCATAGTACTTTTTATAAAATTATGGTTCTTTTCACATTATTTAGAAAACTATATTAATTATTATAGTTTAGAACATTAAGATATTTCTACTACAAGGTGTTTTCTTAACTGATTGAGCAGGATCCCAGGTACTTTCGGAAATACTCTAAAAGAAAATAAATTACCACACTTTTTCCAAGCAAATATTTTAGTTCTTGCTACAGTCCAAATGGAACTAAAACTATGTTATGTAACAAACGCTTGCCAACAGTATGATTGGTTTTTAGTCAAAGGTCTCATTGAAACACCCACTTCCCTAATTGCAACTTTCCCCAAAAAAGTGAGAACACAACTTAGAAAGGAGCAGACCTGGCTCTACATAAAATGTTAAATTTGTTTTACTTGGTGTGTGTTTTCCGAACTTGTGAAAAGCAATCCTTTGACACCAAGTTGTGTGATGAATAAAGAGTTCCAGCCAAGTTATAAATCCCAGCAAAGGGAGGTTTAAATGGCAAGTGTTGGGCAGGACAGGGCTGTTGTCACAGCGCAACTTTTCTCCTCGAACAAAGACGCATTCATGAGTCTAGTCAGCCACTTAATGCTTGCGTCTGTCACTAGCTAAACATAAGGTGGCCAGCGCTGTTAGTGGAGTTTATCAGGAAAACTCGAAGAAATATATAAAAATGTGCCTGTCCTCTTCCTATGCATTGGGCTCCTTATAGAGCAAATGTTATTTTGGCACATGTATTTTACTAGGAAATAATGTCCTTTTACAGTTTAACAAAACTAAGAAACTTTCTTTGAGAGATTTTTGCAATAGGGCATGTGTACTCTCCAGAGAGACAGAGACAGAACGACAGAAAGCAAGAAACCACTACCCAGGGAGCATGGTCACGCTGCAATCCCTTCTCCTCCCTTCTCCTCTCAGGATTTTGGGCACATGCACACATGTGTCCAGTGTGAGTTTCACTGGGTGTGGGATTCGAACCGCAGTCAGACACATGGGTGTCCAGCACCATACCCACTACACCACATGTTGGCCCCCAAAACTAAGAAACTTTAAGTTCAAGATAGCACATGACCAACTTGGTTGGTTTTTTTTGTTTTTTGGTTTTTTTTAGTTTGTTAGTTTTTATAGAAAGATTTTGCTATAGGGCACATGCATTATCTAGAGAGACAGAGAGACAGAAAGCATTTTTAAAAAACATTTATTTATTTATGTATCTGTTTGTTTGTTGTAATTTCTTTTGGAGAGGTTTTTGTTACAGGGTGTGTGTGCTTACCAGAAGGACAGAGACAGAGAGACAGAAAGAGAGAAATCACTCCCCAGGGGGGGATGGCCACGCCGCAATCATTTCTCCTCCATTCTCCTCTCAGGATCTTGGGCATGCATGTACATGTGCCCGTGTGAGTTTAAGCCATCAGTTCCAGCACTCAAACTGCAGTCGACTACATGGGAGCCCAGCAACATAGCCATCACGCCGACTACTGGTCCCTGTTTGTTGTAACTTTTTTTTTTGGAGAGTTTTTCACTATAGAGAGAGACATAGAGACAGAAAGCGAGAAATCACCCCTGGGGGGGGGATGGTCACACCACAATCCCTTCTCCTCCATTCTCCTCTTGGGATCTTGGGCTCGCACGCACACATGCCTGGCGTGAGTTTAAGGCCGCTGGGCCCAGGACTTGAACCGCAGTCAACTACATGGGAGTCCAGCAACATAGCCATTATGCTAACTGCTGGTCCCAAAGTTTTTATGAATGGTTTTTAAGATAAGAGAAGGAAAACATCCACTACCCCTTTTCAGAACTTAAATAAGGGGGCAGTAGACATTTATCACACCCAACAACTATGGCAGCAGTTCAAATGTGACCAAGGTAAATGTAGAATGAAGATATTCTAAACACAGCCAGAATTCAGCAAATCTAATACACTAAAATCGTATGATTACATGTTGAAAGGAAAACCGCGGTCGACTACGTGGGAGTCCAGCGACATAGCCATTACGCTAACTGCTGGTTCCCCAGTTGGCTGTAACTTTTAAGCTACCTGGCCAGTAGTCTCTGCTTTCACATTCTCCCTCTGCAGTCTCTTCCTAATATATAACAGCTTGCAAAGAGTTCTTTTGACTGTCTAAATTGGATTGCGTCACTCCTGGGCTGCAACCCCCCAACGATGCCCCAGTTCCTGCTCAGAAGTCCAAGTGGGTGCTGACGATAGTACAGTGAGTGAAGACGGAAGACGTGCCTCTGCCTGCCACTGCCTCAGGTTCTCACACGCACTGCTGCAGACCTTTTGGCATCCAGTTACTGCCTTTGTTTGTGCTGTTGGTCTTCTTTGACCTCCGTCCTTAGTCCTCAGGACCCTTTATCAGGTCACTGCCCGCAAGCCCTCATTTCTCTTCACCTGTACCCAGGCAGTTTTGACTCTTAATGCCCGGCTTTGACTCCCTGAGGTCCTGACTGAAGTCAGAGCCAGCACTCTGCACCACTAGGGAGGAAAAACCAGAGGTTAGATCTTTTGCTTTAGTTTTACTGTTTGTTTGTCTTTTTGTTTTTTTAAATTTTGCCAGAGGGTGCAGTCTCTCATCAGAGAGAGACAGAGGAAGAAACTATCCCCCAGTAGGGCATAGTTGCACTGCAATCCTCTTTCCTCCATTGAGATTTAGGGCATGCATGCACACATGCCCAGAGTGTTTTACAAGTTCTCGGGGCTGAGATTCTTTTTTTTTTTAATTATTATTATTTATATAATTTTATTTATCATTATCATTATTATTGTTACTTTATTTGCGATGAGGCGTGCACACTCACCAGAGAAAAATAGAGAGAAAGAGAGAAAAGTGATAAAGCAAGCTTCCAGGCCCAGGACTCGAAATGTAGTGGCCATGTGGGAGTCCAGTGATTTAACCACCATGCCACCTGCTGGCCCCCAGGACTGGTATTCTAATCATGACAATTGGCCATACAGAATCCAACTCCCTGAACCACCAGGCCACAGGGCCATTCCTGTCGCTCTAGTTTTAAACAACCAAGGGGAAAATGAAGGTCTGGCTAGTTTAACTGTGGCATAAGCAAATTTTGATTCGTGTGTTGACAGATAACCCTGACAATTCTCTGTGCTTGTTTTCCTGAATTATCTGGAGAACTAACATGGCAAGTAAAAGCCACCAGATAATTACTCATTTTTCACTTTTCTCCGTATAGCAGTAGATTCTCAAGATGAAATATGGCTATTTGCTTTCTATGAGAACAAATGTTGATCTTGTACTTAATCTGCCTTGTGCTAAAAATAGGGCACCGTGGACTCCTTGTGAGGGAAATTAGGATATAATTTTTCATCTTTAGAGAATGAGAAGTCTTTGAGTTAAGGCTTTTTTTTAAAAAAATTGTTTAATTCTTTGAAATGAATTATAGTTGATTCATAACCCAGCTATTTTATTCCTAAAAGACTGAAATCTTGATTTCCAAATGAACAAGAATCTAAAAGGGAAAGCCTTCTCTGAGAAGCCAGTATCCTGTCAGATAAATGATTTCTATTTCTCTCCAGAAATGATCTTGCAAAGGGCTAACACTACGTAATCAGATTTATAGAGCAATGCAGTTCACATCATCTCGTTGGGTTCTGCTATTATGCTCAGTGACTATGAAAAGGAAAATACTTTGTTGTTTCCATATTTGAAAGAAAGTGACACAAAGTCCTTTTCAAAATCTGGTCCACAGATCATTGGCAAAAATAGCCTGCCCATGGTTTTGATTCCCAGTTTCTTGAGAAGATAATGTAAGGGCAATAAGAACTTGGGGAAGGTCTCCAGGAGGTGGGCATGGGCTGCAGAAAAGGAAGCGGGCAAGAATCAAATCATCAGCAATGTAAACAACACCCACAAACACTTGCCTAAAATCTGCTACCCCTCAGGTCTGGGGACACAATGAGAATGATGATGACGGTGGTATGATATAACACTGTCCTCCAGGAACTTATTCATAATAACTCTTCAACTACATTTCCAATCTCCCAG